AGCTTCACACACCAAGGAGGGACCCCAACCCTCAGGGTAGTGCAGCTCTCTCTGGGTTATTTTCTGTTTGGTCCTGTTACACGACTTGCGCTGGTTGGCACCTGGCTGGAAAGTGTCCTTGGGGATTTCGTTCTATAAGCAACAGTACCAACCACCGGTTGGACCGTTAACATGAGCAACAACAACAACCTTGAACCGCAAGTAGCAACAACAGGTTTACCTAACCACAACGCCTACAGCCCTGACCTTGATTTAGTCAACGACGGCGTTTACGACCTTCCACGGAAACAGGCAGAGGTGGGCGTGGTGCTGGAGGCGTCGGGCATGACGACGGTTTGAGAGGGGTTCTTGAAGGTGTACCGGGAGGAGGGGGTCCACGAACCTGATCCCGCTTGAAGCTGCGACGGAAGGTGCGCGAGGATGTTGACTCTGCCGTGCGTGCAGATGTAGCGATGGCCCACACCACGAGGCATCACCACCAACAACGTGTTTATTGTAGAGTCTAAACGTTCGTTAGCCGTTTGAGCTATGTAGCCTAGACATAGCTCAGCCAGCCAAAGAGCATCATGTTGTTGAATCGGCACAATCATAACACCCACTGCTGGTTGGGGAATGTCGTACCCTCTGGTCCGCTCATTTTTTTCCTGTTAACTCTCTTCAGGGCGTATCTACACAGTACGCAACCCCCTAGAAGGCAGGTTAGGGTATGCGCACCACAAGATAAGACAAGGCGGGCCCCGTGGTAGGCTGGCGTAACCCAGACAGGCAACGGCCGGGTAAAGCTGAAGGAATCGTCGTCGTTGTTGTTGCTGCCGCCTTCTGTTTTGTTCCTTTGTTGTTGCTGCGCTGCTGCTGCTGGTGGTGATGCTGGTGATGCTGGTGATGCTGTTCTTTTGTTCTTGTCCTGTTGATGGATGTTGTTTCGCTCGTCGTCGGCTGGCGTCGCCGGAGGTTCATACCAAGGAACTCCCACGACACCCCCCCCCTTGAACTCGGGCAAACAGTCGTCCGCTTCTTGTGTTTTCTTACTTCAAATTTCCCGTCGCCCCTACCCCCACCCCGCTAGGTTTTCTGAGGTAAGCTTCATCAAGGAGCTCGAGGCGGAGGGGGTCGGGCGTCCCTCCACCTACGCGAGCATCATCGGTACCCTTCGCACGAGGACCTACGTAAACCTGCAGGGGCGGAGCCTGACGCCCAGCCTGACGGGCTTCGTGGTGGTGGACCTGCTTTGGGGGCACTTCCCGGATTTCACCGACATCGGCTTTACGGCAAAGGTGTGCCTGCGTGCGTGCTTGCGTTGGGCGGACTCTAGTGGCCCACAACAGTAGTGTTTAGCGCAGTTCGTAACACTATCCGTTTCGACGTTCAACGTCTCTCTCCCCTCGCTCGAGTTAGTTGCTGCCGCACCAGCTTGTAACGAAGGACCGTTCACGTACACGGTCGGGTAGACTTGTGTGTGTTTTATTTTTCGATGCTGACCGCATGTACACCAAGATGGAAAAAAGTCGAACGAGTCCAAACCCGCATGCTTTGTACTTGAGTGTGATATCTGCGGCCCTAGCTTGTCGCCTTGAAGCGAGGTTTGTCGTAGGTCAGCACGTTGAAGGAAATCAGGTCGTCCAACGCATTGTTGTCTGTCGTTCCCAACATTACCCCGCCCTGAGCTTGCGCATGAGGTCATGCCCTTTGTCATGAATAATTTGAGGTAAGTTGTCGGTCGGTCGGTCGCTACCGAAACACTTGGAAAGTACCCTGTGATGGCGATTTAATTGTGCAGCGATATTTCCACGCCACAACTATACTGCATGATGCCCCACACCGAACAAGATGTCCCCCTTCCCGCCCCACCGGCTGTTCTCTTTTTTCTCCTGCCATGCGTTTTATTGCCGATGCGCGGTGGCACACACCACTGCTGCTGTCCAGGCCAAATACGTCTGGAAACATTTTGTAGAGGGGTCCACGAGCCGGCTTGTGGAGGGCGGGGGCTGGGGCGCGACGCAAGGGGGAGAAGGAGAGCACAGTAGCTCCGAAGGAGGCGGTGGCGGCGGCAGCAGCCATAACCGGCGATCTAGCAAGGACGGCGGAGGGGTGGACGGGGACTCGACGGGCGGGAGCTGCAGCGGCGAGGGGGGGTGCGGGCAGAGGTGTGGTCGTTGCGACTGTCGGAGTGCGCGGTGGTGGGGGATCTGGCGGGAGCCGTCGAGGCTTTGGCCCACGGTGAGACAGGCTGACAGACAGCAGTAGCGTTTCACGGCTTATTTTAATTTTGGCACCCCTAACACACCAGACTGTAAAGACCGAAGAAAGTATCGATATTTTTTGTTCCAGATGTTCTTTTTTGTTGTTACGGGAGTGTTGCCTCTGTTACCTCTTTCGGCGCTCCTAACACACCAGGTAAATGAAGAATGAAAAAATAAACCCATTGTTTCTTTTCATATCTCTCGTTGTTTGCTATGGGAGGTATCCCTGTGTGGCCTGTAGGTGGCACCCCTAAGCTACCACTGCAACATATCAAGCCATGTTCTCGACGGAGCCGTTGGGGTGCTGGCCCGCGATGACATACGAGACGGCCCGTGGTGTGTGTGCACTGTCCTGCTTGCTGTCCGTAGGTTTTCGAAAGTAGTGGCTTGCCTCTCTGTCGTTTGTGTGCTTGTATTATTCCAGTTATTGTTGCGACAAACGCCCGCTTGCTGCCTGCAAGGGTTTCGAACGTGGCCGCGTGTCTTTATGATATGTTTTTGGTTGTCCTCGTCATGGTTTGTTTTGTTTTTGTAACGAAACGGTGCGGTGTCCGGCACATAAGTCCAGAGTCTTCTGTGTGCTGAATAGTTTGTGTGTGTTTGTTTTTCTAGTTGTTGGAATCGACCGGGCTACAACACCGGCTGACGATTGAAAAACTGTCAGTCTCAAGTGTGTGTGTGAGCCGTGCGCTTTGCTGCCTGCGCTCTTCGGCGGAACGTTCGTTGTTAATAGGGGGTCCATGATCGACGAACCCCGACGATCAGCACAGGACAGCCCTGCACTGCGCCGCGGCAACTGTGCAACTGGGGTGAGAAAGAAGAGCCAGGGAGATTTGAGAGTACACTCCCCACATTATATTTTGCATTCTTCGATTTCCTAGAACTGTGTGCCCTAGTTGGTCTGTGACCACGGAAGGCGTCAGCGTCAGGTGGACCAGGATGGATATTTGAAGGTATTGAGCGGATGCCGGGACTGGTTTTGGAAGGTGAGGCCAATCACAACAACCTCCGGCCCCGCTTGTTGCGTAGCTGGTACCATGTACTGTGTTTTGTTGACGGTGCGGTGCCTCTTCCTAGCCTTGACGGCCTCCCACCCACGAAATCTGTCCACTGTTGTTGTGACTGCCGTTCTGTTGCCTGGGTCCTCATTACTCGAAGTTGGCTGAATCATCGTCCGTCGTAGTCGCGAACATGTTAATTTTGTTTGTTGTTCACCCACGTGCTCTGCTCCGGCGGTTGCTCTCTGCGTGAGCTCACCATCTTCAACGACACGGCCTGCCAGCATGAATCTTGTCATTGAATCCTCCCCGAGGTGCTGGTCCTGTTCGGACGATTTGCAGACCTCAGCCACCTGTAGTATACCCACCTGTCACACGTGGGCGAGGTCTGTCTTCAGAACCAACATAATCACCATCTCGGGGAGGATGGGGACAAGACTCGTGCTGGGCAATCGGCGTGTACCAGCAGGCCGTGTCAGTAGAGATGGTGCAGCTTACGCAGCAGAGAGAGCAACCAGAGCAACGTGGGTGAAAGTAGCTCGTGTTAGTTCCAGTGAAATTATATCTGTTTCGCGAGTGCCTCTTGTTTGTATGTTTGTGGATGGCAGGTGTAGAAGTGCTGTAACCATTGAATTGTACTTTGTACAGTTGTAAGCACTTGTGTAACTGCCTCGAGGGTGCTTGACCATTTTCACACAACGTGGTGCGATCATCCCCCTTGCGCGGAGTGAGGGATCTCCATCCCGCACAACATGATCTACTCGACCACCCGTCCTCGAGAGGACGAAGCATCGTTCCCACAGGACCGATCACCGATGGCCAATCGTTCCTTCCTACTTTGCCAAAGGTGGCTCAAAAATGTCTTCCCTAGTCTATCTATCCTAACGATTTCCCTTCCCGCCTTTTCAACCCACCTCCTATGCCCCACTACAGCTACCGTCCTTTCCTCTCTATTCCATGCCTCAAACATGTCCCTGTACGTCCCATCTATTTTTCCCAGCTCACTCACGTACACTTCCCTCTCCTTCTTGTACCACGGACATTCCGCGACTACATGAACACGGTCTTCGCATTCGAAGCCGCAATCACATTTGAACTCGTCGTCTTCCTCGTCTACCGTCCTATGTCTTCGTCGACGTTCTCGAAGGCCTATGTCCCCGGTCCTGAATTTGACCTTAAGCTTTGTTCCTGCATCCATTGGTCCATGTAGGTAATCCTTGAACCCTATTCCTTCCTTCAACATTCCGTACATATCCAGACCCTCCTTATCCTTGGTTTTTTTCTTTAGATTCTGTGCTTCTCTCTCGGCACAAGCAACAGATATCTTCTCCTTGAACCCCTGTAGACCCTCCGTTTCCAGCGTTTCATCTTCGTCGATGTCGAGCCCCTTCCATACGTCCTCTACAACCTTGACCCATTCCGTGGGTTGTCTACCCCTCTTTTTGTTGGCCCACTTCTCCTCCCTTACAATTCTCGGCAACCTCTCCTCTCCCATCCCGCACATGCGATACTGCCAGGTCAGCTTCCTCGCGTCTCTTCCCGACCGTAGGGATTGGATCCCCAATTCTGCCCTCACGGCTGCATTACTTGTGCGCCTGGAGCATCCTAGGATGGTTTTCGCTGCTTTCATCTGCGCCGCCTCGAGTTCTTTCACTACCTTCTTATTTCCTTCCCATACTTCTCCGGCGTACTCTAGCGGCGGTACGATTACGCTCTTCAAAACCGTCAATTTGATGCGTGTATCGAGGTGCCGGTTTGCGAGTATTGGGTGCAGCTTCCCTGCTCGTGCTTTGCCCTTTTCCGCTACCTTGGACATGTGTGCATTCCACGAGCAGTCTTTTGCCATCTTAACTCCGAGGTGTGTGTACTGGTTTACCACTGCAATCTCCTCGGTC